TTCTGTTTTCAAATGCTAATTAAGCCTATAATTGCGTGTTTCCGAAGCAAATTTGAAAAAAAGAAACAAAACATATCAGATACATTTATATATCCCAATAACATGTAAAAAAACAGTAGTTAAAGACACGGATACGAGGCTAAAGTGAAAGTTTTTCATTTCATCAAATGAATCCACCCCAAGAACTGAAGACAATCTGCTACAGCACGAATTACATATTATCATGCATTGAGTATCAAGACCATGACGAATTCCAGCATTTAATTAAAACCCTAAACTGAATCAAACATGTGGCCATAAAGATACAAAAACATTCAACCATGTAAGGTGAAGTTTGAAATGCTGAAGCATGACAATTAGGGCCAGAAAAGAAAACAGCTGCAAATAGTATAACTTTTAAGAACCGGAGAAATAAATTGAAGGATTCACTTTATTTTCATGGGAACGAAATTTTGCACTTCAAATGTATTCTAATGTCTTGTATTTCGATGAAATGCGTAAATCAGCCTCATATAATAAAATAAAATAAAATAAAAATCTAAGTTCCGAAATATCAAACATAGTTTTACTATTTTACTAACAAGTGATTCCGAAGCAAATCATACCATTGCAAACAAATGAAGAATCAAAGACCCGATGCAGAATCTTCGGACAAAGATGTTAGCGGAGGGGAAGGAGAGGTGGGTCTGAAAGATCATCAATTGTGTAGATTTGGGAATCACATAAGCAGCTTGAAGATGGAGTTCACGAAAAAGAAGAAGAAGGGAAAGCTACCAAACGAAGCAAGGCAAACATTGTTGGAGTGGTGGAATGTTCACAACAAATGGCCTTATCCAAAGATGATAAGATAGCATTGGCTGAAAGAACGGGCCTGGACCAGAAGCAGATCAACAAGTGGTTTATTAATCAAAGAAAAAGCGGCACTGGAAACCATCCGAGGCCTTCCAAATGGGAGAAATCTTTTTAGACCAAGAATAAGGAAGACCAGTTTCTCTAAAATGTACATCAATTGTTGTATCTATAATTAGTGTTTTTAATTTTTCCAGCTTTTGTTTCGTGTATATTGTGACATTGGCTAGCCTCCCTAAGATTTAACCCAGGATCATTTCTATGTAAGTTGTATCAAAAGACTAGGTACCTACAACATCTATAAGGCGAAGAAATCATTGATGAGCTTCGACTTTCATAGTAATCAGTTCCTACAGACAATGGCAGGTAAACAAGAATCTGATGAGTATGATTAAATGCTTTGAGAAACACCACAAAGAGGCAATTCAATTTATGCATAAGTACTTAAACAACCCCTACATGCAATGCCGTTTACTCTCAAGTGCATTGGTCCCTACTTATAGACCTTTTATCAGTATGCATTACCATTACAAATTAAAACAAAATCTAGGGTTCTGCATCATAAGAATTCATTTAGATTATAAACAAAAAAAATTTAAAACTTTTACAAGCAAGATTCTCATCACCTTTGTTATGTCCTTCTTGGCGGCAAGGAAGTAACCGTATCTCTAACCTCTGCATATAAAAAACAAATGATCGTTGAAACTTTAAATATCAAAGAAAATTAACTAAAAGGTAGTTTCTTTTTTCAGAAGAGTTCGAACTCACTCGCGTAGAACTGGAGTTTCTTATCGAACATTTTATCTGATTTAGAAGTAGAACCTGGTCTGCCAAAAATAAAAGATGGAAATCGTAAAAACTGCAGAAACCCCGTAAATTTAAACTGAAAAGGGAGGGGGAAAGCACACCATACTCACCGAGAGCTCGGTTTCCCCATGTTTGAACAAATTCGAAAGGTTTATTTCTTCAGATGAAGGAAACTCAAACTAGGGTTTTAAGAGGATTTGATAATTGATGCTCGGAGAATACAGCAGAGAACACACTCAAAACAAAAAACCCCATCCTTTGCAACGAGAAACTATTTATTTTCCTTTGGGTTTAAGCTTTCGTTGCAAGCCCAGGAAAATTTACAGAGTTTATGGGTCATTAATATGTCATACTTGACTGAATCAAAATGTGAGGCTTTCATTTTCTTTTTCCCTTGATTTTTATCTGATACATGCATGGAATGTTAAAAGAAAATAGGCCCGAGTAAATATTCCACTAAATATTATTTGTATTCAATAAAAATAGAGATATAATTAAATTAGATTTTTTATTATTTTATTTAATAATATATTTATAAAAAATATCATTTATAATCAATCAAAATAGAGATATAATTAAAAAAATATTATTTGTATTCAATAAAAATAGAGATATAAAAATACTATTTGCATTTTTATTAAATTAAAATAGGTTCGAAATAAATATATTTATAAAAACATTATTTGTATTCAAGAAAAATAGAGATATAATTAAAAATAATAATATATAGAGTTATTATTGTAATTATCTTTGAATATATATAAGATAAATTTATATTATTTTTCGGATCTAGTTAAGTACAATATTTTTATTCTAAACCCGAACTCGATCAGACCTGACCTGAACTCAAATTTTTAATAAAAATCTGATCCGATTAGGTCAAGTTAGGTCGAAACCCGTCGAGTCCGAGTCCCGTACCCATCCTAATCAATTATCGTGTTTCCATGATTAATTATAGAGGGTGAAAATGTAATTACATTAACTTGAAACTTTGAAATTTCGGAGGGACTTTGGTTGACAACGAAATACTAATAGATTGTGAAGTTGACTAACATTATGATTCTGCAAATTTATTAAAGTCAGCAAAGGACAAACAACATCCATAAGTCAAACCCAAAAAACAAAAATTGCATGTCTTATGTACATGTTACTACACTTATTTACCATGTCCCAAGGGGGAACTTCATTGAATTTCATTTTTTACTGCAGCTGATTCCATTCGGAGCCAATGCCTCTCTATTACAATCCGGTATCATCGGGTCAGGTGAGACCCTCCTAAACCCGAATAAAATAAGATAAATATTAAAAATTTTAATTTTCAAATCAGATTCGATTAGATTAAGAACTCAATCCGACCATGACCATCCTAACAATGTAGTGTTTTACGGTAAAAAGATGGCCGACCACATAGTACAAGACTTGTGAGAAACTAAAGGTGGTAATGGGTTTAGGGTAGGAATGGACCGAAGAATACGGTTGTATCTCTAGAAATTTTAAATTTTCTTATATTTTTATGTTTTTTATTTATATTTCCTATTAATTATTTAATTTTACACCCTTATAATTTTATAAATTAATATCCTCTAAAAAATTTAATTTAGCCTTTTAAATTTGCATGTCTGAACTAAATTTCTACATTGGCTCTGGTCTGGGGGTCACCTTACGCTGCCAAAAGATACACAAATCCTAGTCTGAGATACCAGACATGACAGCAGCAGGGAGACAGCCAAGTTTCAAAGATTTTGGTATATGGCTGACCCTCTAAAAAAATAACCACATCAAAAACTGCAAGTTGTCCTTTCTTTTTCCTCTGACCATGTAAAAGGACTCTCCAGGCCCAAAATTGCAATTAATTTTCACCGTTTCAAAGAAAGATTGCAATAAAACAAGACAACCCATCCACAGTACTTTTGAGAGCTTACCCTTCCAAAGGACCACCACCCCCACTACATCACCTATAATCTTCCTATTTCCCATAACTAGGGTTGTAAATAAAACCAAACGGATCATGAATTATTTAAGATTAATCGCTTAACATTTGATAAATATTCGAATTGAATTGTTAATAAGTCGAAATGAGTTATTTGATACTCTATTTGGAAAGCTCGCTAGAAACTAAAAAAACTATATATTAAATTTTATTTTTTAAAAAAAGAAAATTATTAATAATATTAATATTTATGTGTTTATTTTAAAAAAATTGTAGTTGAAGGTTATCATGTACTTAAAGTTTAAGTTTGAGATTTAATTGAGTTAAATTCAAGATTTTTTCTTATTTCCAACTTCGGCTTCAATTTATGATTTAAAGTTCGATTCGAATTTAAAAATTTTAGACTCACAATGTTTCGAGACGAGCCAAGCTCAATTTTAAAATTTTCAAGTCGAATCAAACCCAGTAATAATCGAACTGGTCTCAGCTCGTTTACAGCCCTGCCCGTTATTGCTAAAAGATGTTAAGAGAAATGCTATTCTTCTGGACTGATTCAGATTCAAATAACTTCATTTGTAAATATATTTATATTTATTTATATTTGATACTGGGTACATATATTATTTTATAGGATTGAATTGATGAAGATAGAGTTAAATTATAGGATTAATATCAAAACAAATGTCCAAACTATATCTCAATTCTCAAATAAGTTCCTAAAATATTTTTTAACCCGTCCAGATCAGATTATGAAACATGTCATTTAACGGGAGAAATTAATGCTATTGACGGCCCGAACACCTAAAATGATAACGTTTGTAACGTTAGACATCTGGATAATAGTTTAGGAACTATTCGAGAATTGAGGTATAGCTTAGGCACTTATTTCGACATTAAACCTAAATTATATGGGATTGAGCAGGGTTTAGGATCTTGACAACTCATGGGAGATAGTGACCAAAGGCAAGTTGACAATGTGGTTGAAATTTGAGGCCTACGCTTCTGATGCTCTTTGGGGCCATTGCTACCAAAGGGCTCCATCCATAACTCTTTTAGGAATGAAACTTTAAACTCGTTTGATAAAAAATTAAAATAAAGAGTAAAATTCTTGATCAGGGCATTATTTTTGATAAATTATCAAAGATTAATATTATTCTAATATTTAATTTTTTAAAAACAGAATGTTTGGTTAAATTAACCCATAAAAGTATGCATCGCTGAAAATTAAAGACAATTGCACGTGAAAATAAAAATAGATAGTTTATAGCCTTGCTTGAATCAAGTTTCCGATGGGGGCATTCTTGGAATTTAATAAACGGGAAGGCAAATCATAAATTCTTTTCCCTTTTGAAACAGACGAGACATTAACAATTTACTGCATTAAAATTTAAAAAATATTTTTTTTGGGGACAAAGTTAAAAGGAGATGATCAAGAAGGCCTGCTGCCATTGCCAACGATGTCCACAAACACGCGGTTGAGTGATGCCAAACGCATCCCTTCTTCTTGACCCCTCTTCCTCTTAAACGGCGGCTCGGACGGCGGCGGCGGCCCCACAATCGAAGCCTGGTATGAGCTGTCACTACTAAAATCAGCATCAATCACGCCACTAGGGCTGCTGCAACTAGGAGACGCCTCAAGCTTCCTCTTTTGGTTGCAATGAAAAGGAAACGTATCGTACGCATTGTCTCGGTTTTCGGGTCTCGTTGATACATCAAGAACGAGCTTATAACAATCATTTACTTTATCCTAAAAAAAAGAACAGTGACAGCAAAAAAAAACATGCTATAATGGTGTCCGAATAATGTTTGGTTTTGATTATTTTAATGAAAAAGTACACAAACCTTGCTCATTTCAAGAACACCCGGAAGCTGGCTCCGGCAGTCAACCGAGTTGAAAGTCTCGACTTGGTCTATTACGTGCATCATTGTTGCGGTGGCCAATACAGAGGGGAAATAAAGAACAGATCTTGAATCTATGGAGCACACAAAGATCAGACCAAACTGATGAGATAAAAGAAGACAAAAAAGGGTGTCTTAAAATCAAGTAATAATGGAAGGATTAGGTACCAGAGATTACAGAAAGGAGCAGACGCTCACATCTCTTGAGAAACTCCCAATGGAGACGAGTCTTTAAGCCGAGTCTTCTCGTGATGTGATCGAGGAATGAAAGTGGGGTGATCGGATGCATCTTCCATTTAAGTGTCGAGAGTACCAAAAGCTCCATTCTTTGAATCGTTTTGGGTTCAAAAACATATCTTGCCCCTTCCACCTTAAAAGAAACAAAACAAGAAACATGCTCAATATGCATATGTATGTGCATGTATGCATGTATGGATGGATGGATGAGAAAAAGTACTTGTAGGTCTAGAAGGAGGGGCACATGGGTCTCTTCAACTTTTGCAGCCAAAGAGAGACAAGTGACCGCCACGAGTTGGATCAACCACGGCTTATTGTTTTGTAAACCGAAGCTACTAAGGAACCTATCCAGATAGTTAACCGAAAGCACAGCAGTGAGAGCGGTGAACCCGTGGCGATCATTGACGTTAAGCATCCACTCCACCGCCTCACGGTGGATCTCACGGCGGGTCACCGTTAAAAACTCATCTTCTTCCTTGGAAAACAACGAAAGTAGCTCGTCGTCTTCCCAAAACAAGTCTTGCTCCAACAAGAGAGGGAAAAAAGAACGGGATCCGCCATTGTTGGAAGATGAAGGAGAACTCTCTTCTTCTTCCTCTGAAACACGAGCCGCGCCATCTTCTTCGCAGTAGAGAGCATCAAGAAAGAAAGAAGCGTACTTCTCTTGTTGATGTTCATGGTGTAGAATCGCCATCTTCTTTACGAAGAAGAAGGGCTGTTTTTTCTTTTTCTTTTGAGTTCCCAGACTTAGTTCATCATACGAAACAACAAAGCGTCCATAAAAGAAAAGCTAAAGTATCTCTCCAAGAAGCAGGCTTTTTGAAGTTTAGGGTAAGTCTTAGAGAGAGAGAGAGGCGTTACATACATTGGTATCACCCAACTATTGAGTTATTACTACTTTGGGTGCTCAATAAAAATAATGTTTATTCTTTAATAGATATAACAACATTTATATTTCAATATTTATTATTCTATCAATAAATAATGCAATAATTGTAACATTCCTCAAAATTTATTTTATTCATTTTTTTATGAAATTGATGGTGTGTCTTGAATCTTAGACTTTATGATAACTTATATACTAACCTTTAGTGTCGGTGAATCTATCGGTGGTCATCTTATTTCACTAAACAACATATATGGAACCCAAGTTTATATACAAAGATACCACTAACTAATTAACTGTCTAACAGAAAAGAATAACAAATAACTACACAACAACTAACAGCAACAAGCTTCTCTACAATTCTCCGAACAGTTATAATATTCTAACGTGACCACCGATAAATTCACTGACACTAAAGGTTAGTATATAAGTTATCATACAAAACTAAAAGGAAAGATTTCTCTCTCGACTACCATTCATTAGTATCTTTGGCCCTCCTATCTGAACACCTAATCGTAAATTTTCATCTAAATCAAAAAGAAATAAACTATCAAAATATGTCGTAATCCGACTTTTCCTATAAACAATGTATATACATTTAAATCACACATGCAAATAAATATTGCGGGGTTTAGGGGAATGGAATGTGGTTGGCGGGGGCAGAAGGAAAGGTTAGAGTAAAGGGGTGGCACTTGGCACACACACCAAGCTCAAAGGTAGTCTCCATGAAAACAACTCTTCCTATTCTGTTCACCATTCATATTTCCAGGTTATAAAAGCACAGAGTTAGAGCTTGTAATATTAAAATGCTCAGATTTCTAATAACCGGGTGACATTAATATTAAAAATGTAAAGAAAATGACAATATTAGATATTTAAATGATAATTATAATAAATTCATCGTTTATGTTTTTGTAGCATATCTGAAAGCCGATCTTTGCCCTATCTAATTATACTTGATCGCAGGACATAGAAGAAGACAAACGTGGGTCGATTGTCTGTTTCTGTTTGGACTTGCTGAGTAGTTATTTTATTTACTTATCGTGTTTTTTTATTAAGCTAACAATGACTATAAAGTATTATCTGATTTAAGTGCTTTCAATTATTTGACTATGAACGTTCAATCACCCTTGTAATCGTTGATTTTTGAATTCGTGACTTCTAGAAACAACAACGATTCTTTTAACTACTGAATTAATTTGGTTCGTGCTTTTTATTTGGATGAATTGATAGCCGAGTTAGGCTGAAATCATACATTTTTTTGTTAAACCTAAATTATTATTTTCGAGATAGTTAAAAAAAATTAATTTTATAATTATATTAAGTTAAAATATTTCTAGAATAAGCAATCGAACAAAAAAAATTAAATATTGTATTTTCTCAAATCTAAACAAAAAGTAAAATAAAAGGTAAAAAGAAAGTTAAAAAAAGTAAAGGATTGAATTTTACACAAATTATCAATAGTCCTATGAGTTATAACCTATAAGGTAAGGAAATTTTCCAAAGTTTTTTTACCCAAACGGTTATTTTGGAAATGGATTGAAACAAATTTAATAGAAAGAAAAAGGATGGCTAGTAAATTACATAAAAATTAAAATTTTAACTGAAATTTGGTTCTATAACCTATTGAATGATGCTTTAAAAATTATATTTTTTATTTTATTATTTTAAATTCGATTATATATATATATATATATTTCATGCATGCATGAACTTATTAGCTATTAAATATGATCTTTCCAAATAGTCTAGAATGATCATGAACTAGTATTTGTTCAAAATCTTTTTAAATTATTAACAACGCTCACACATTTATACTCTATAGACACAACTACTTTAATTCAAGATTTCAAGAGAGAGAATATTTATTTTAATCACTGAAATAACTCTATAAGTTTTAGATATGACATTTTTAATACATCGTTTGTTGGCTCTAATAAATCCTCCTAAGCCTAAGGGTAAAGGAAAAGCACCCTTAGCGGATGTTTGATTCGCATGAAAGATCATTACCAAGAGAAATAATCTTTTTCGGAATTATATTATCACGTTTGGTTCACAAAAAAATCATTACTGGTAATAACTTATTATCGATAGCAGTAGGGCTGAGCAACGAAACCGAGAAAACCGAAAAACTCACACGAACCGAGTAAAACGGTTCGGTTCGGTTCGATTTGGCTTTAAACGGTTCGGTTTTCGGTTCGGTTTAAAGGCTTCATTTTTTTGATTCGGTTCGGTTCGGGTTTTCCATATGGAACCCATTTATTCCATATTGAACCGAATAGGCAATTTTTGTAAAAAAATTATAGTTTCAAGTGATTTTTTTATTGAAAAACCGATAAACCGAACCGAACCGAAAAACCCGAACCGTTAAAAAAACCGATCCGAACCGAAAAAATCGGTTTCAGTTTTTTCAATTTTTTAACTATTCGGTTTCGGTTTAAATATTGAAAACTCGTTTATTTCTGTTCGGTTCAATTTTTGGTAAAAAACTGAACCGAACCGAACCGAATACACCCCTAGATAGCAGTTGATTTTGGTTGAAATGGTGGGAATATCATTACCTTCAAATTCTTAAGGATTACACAGTTTCTGTCACTTTGAACAAAAATACCCCTAGAATAATATTTTTTTTCATATGAATCATTCTCAATACTATTATTGGTGTTTTCCTCAAAACTATAAACATAATAATAATAATATAAAAAAGTTTGATTTAATAAAATATTGATAATTTAAGGAGTTAAAATTATTTTATAATTTTATTATTTAGTGTATCAATCATTTATAATTTTATGAGGTGAAAATGATATTATTATAAAATATGTAATTATTTAAAATAATGTATAACTTTGAGTTATTAAAAAAAGATCTTATAAATTGAAAAACAATATCTTTATCCAATCGAGACTATAATATTTTTCATATTATATTATATTTTATATAAATAAATATGATACTTATGGAAATTATTTCAAAAAATAAGTTTGATATAATAATTATATTAATTATATGTTAAATATTTTTTTCTTTAAACTTAGTGTAACAAATAAAACATTTCTATGAATTTTCATCAAATATTTATAATTTTTTTGACAATGACAACTGAATTTTATTAATAAAAACAATAGAATTAATCAAAAATACAACGCACTCAGAGAGAAAATTGGGGACAATAGTAGAAAAACTCATCAATAAAATAAAAATATTAAACCCAAACATACAAAGAAAAATTGAACCTTCTATTGAGAATGACGTCTAACATCAAGAGAATCCAATAACCTTCATAAAACTCTTTTTCTATATCGAAAGAGACGATTTACGTGATAAATAAGTGGTGAGTGAACCAAATAATTTGACAGACTGATTTGCTACCCAATTATAATTATATCGGCAAACAATCTTTTATCAAAGATGGGATCTAAAAAAATTTGAATCAATTTTTCATTTACGAACAAACAATTGGTTTCAATTGGTTTCACATTTTCCTCAACAACATTTGGATCAATTTTTCATTCAAAGCTCCAAAATTATCGAATTTTTCCCAACAAAATCAAGATTATTCAACTCACGCTCAAGCTCCCCCCTAATACCTCCAAATAAAACAAAGCGGAGAAAACCTCCAAAATGAAACTAGCAAAAATAGAGACCAATAAAAACTCAGAAAACAACCACAAACGATAGAGAAAATTTAACTTGTTGAAGAAAAAAAACATATATCACAACGATAATTTGGTAAAATATAAATACAAGTAACATTATATTCCTCCAACCAAACATTGTAATCTTACATTCTTACTAAACAAACCAAACAAGATAATACAAAATTTCGAATAATATTACATCCCAGTAATCTAATTATCAAAGATAATTTTACATTTCGTTAACCAAACCATCCTTTAACTATTTGTATTTAAAATGAATATACACATTCATATGAACTTTGTTTTATCTTTTGCAACTTTTTTTTGTTGTTGTTGAAGATTTTGTTCTTCTAATCATCTTTTTGGAAAAGGGAAGAGGGAAAAGCGATGGATTTGGTACAACCCACTTAGTTGCCTGTCTGATTAACTGTATTTAACTGGTGTTGGCACATCAATTAGGGAATAAAAAAACATTTTGATTATATGATCAATTTCGGTACGTAAACAAATCTAACCTTATTATTACTATCATTTCTCCCCTTTTGTTAGGTCTAGTTTTGCTTCTTTCCATGCAACGTTGGTTGTATTAATGATGGCTATTAGGGGATGTCTAAGGAAATATAGTCTAATATAAGGTTAAGAAAATGTGCAATCCAAAAAATTAATTTTGTTTTAACATTTTTGGTGGAACGCTGCCTAAAATATTAATTTCGTTACCTAAAATGTTAATCTTCTTAATATTTCCGGTCGCAACCGAAATATTATAGAGAAAGTAACAACCGAAAACGTTAAAATATTAACATATTAGGTAATAAAATTAATATTTTAGGCAGCGCTCTACAAGAAATGTTAAAAAAAAATATTAATTTTATATGTTGTCTTTCCTTAACCTTATATTAGGATGTCGTACACCAGAACTACCAATGGCTATTATCATCACTTATATTAGGATTTTATTTAAAATGTTAGACTTATAAGATCTAACAAATATTTCAAATATATGTTTAGATTAAACATGGTAAAAGTTTATAAATTTTATCATATCAAGATTTAAAAATTTAATTTCATTCAAAAGTTTAATATCACTTAATTGATAGATAATCTATTAACTTAATATAATTTAGTGCAAAATATTGATAAAACGAAGAGAAAAGCACATATCAATTA